CGGTTTTGGATCAATCTATGTGCGTCTGTGACACCCCAATGTTAGCCTCGCGTCTGTGTATGTGTGCGCGTGTTTTGGAACGAATGAGTACACAACAGGGCTTTGGCTAGACGGATAGCAATAGCTATCCAAATACACAGACTTTTTTCTGAAGCCAAGAATAGTGTGAGAAGACTCCCTCTCACTCGGCCTCTCTAATGTGACGGGGCTCTCCCTGCGTCTTAACCCTTTAGATTTGATACATAGCCACCTCAACGCGTCCCTGAGGCCAGACAGAAAGGCAGAGATGTGCAAAAGACCCGACTAAACGAGAGTCATCAGTAAACATTTGCTGATGCCAAAGCTGCTCTGCATGTGGAGAGCTTTTCTTAGCCGACGTGGGCCCTGTTCCCACCACACACACAACAGAAAAGCCTCAGACCTAACCGACCCCCCCTCCCGAGTGTCAAGATTTCATTTAATCAAAACTTCACTGCTGACGGCCATCCTAAGCTGTGCTTGCACACAAGGATAGTCCACTCAAACCTTGTGATGTCATGGGAGTCTGAGAGGAGATCCAGGAAGTAATTAACAACAGATTATTTTCACAGGGAAAAAACAACGAGCTATGGGGAAAAGAAGACCTGTGGAATCCATCAGAGTATTCCTTTAACTTTTAAGATGTCACAAACAATCCACGTGATTCCTGAGTGTCAGGATTCCTTTCTCTTTTTCGCTCTCTTTTTTCACCTTTTTCCCTCACACATTTAATTACCTTTTTCATCCCCATAAACTCTAGAGTTTTGCGTAGTGATGAACGCAAGTAGGGTTTTATTTGTGAATCCTAGCTGTGGTCAGCGAATTGGCTGGGGGGCTGGCCACAACACTAAGGCTTCTCTGGGCTTTCTCACAGCAATGTCCAAGGCATGACTACTGCTATAGTGAGAGAGAGGCGGGATCTGGCACTACAGAGCGTGGAGTGTGGAGCGGTCATGGCAGAAATGGCACGGCGAGCACATTTCACACCTCCCTCAGAGTGACTGCAAATTTCCTGTACTGCACTTTTGATTGGAAACACATTTGAAACATCTTTTCATGATCACACTTACGGCGTACAAAAGAAAAGGGGAAAAAAAATAAAACGCTGGAAGAATGCTTTCCAAGCTATGACTAAGTGCATAGAGCTAACTTTGGACCTGACAAATGTTTTTTTTAATCTTCTATTTTTCCAACCTCGAATAAATCAGAAATGTGCTGAGTTTAATCTAAAACAGCCCAAAGATTATAAATCAAATAGCCCACTGAATACTGTGAGGAGGAGCAATAACTTCTCCTCAGATGGTGTACAGCTGCAACCACCTATGCAGTAGTCAGAGTAACAGAAGTGAGAACTACATCCAGGCTAGTACGGTGAAGTACGTGTAAGCCTATCCAAAGCGCTCCATTCATGGGTTATCAACTGGACACTGGCAGTGTTCGGTGCTCTGGCAGACCCTTGGCACTTCCGGGCCAAGAGATCACTATCTCCATTATAATATACCAGTCACTCACTCTTAATAAACACTAAAAATACACTACTCACTGTACTGCACCACAGCCCCTCTTTCCCTCTCATCTATTTCTCTGCCAGCATTTCAGTTACAAAGTCATTCAGTTTCAAAGACATGTTGCTCTGTCTGCTTTTTTTTTTTTACTCTTTATCTGAGGTGCCTGAAAACAGGCGGAGAAGGTTTTGTATTGTGGCATCGTGGTTTGTTCTGTTACGGCTGCGGTGTGTTATGCTCTGTAACAGAGAGGATCTCAAAGGCTGGCTGGCTGCAGAACAGTCTGAGAAAGCCTGACGGCAAGCCCAGAGATTCCCCGTGGCAGCTTTTGCCACTCTGTCATAAACAAAACACAAGACGTCTTTCTCTTCTTCCCACACCAACGGGGCCCGGGTGCTGCCAAACAGAACAATCACTATTGTAGCCTCTTCTGCTTCCCAACGTGCTCTCTCTCCCTCACTCTCTCTCCGAGTCTCCTACAATATAAACAAAAGAGATCAGCGGAGGCTTTACCTCTGTGAGAGCAACAATGAAGGCGATGTTTAAGGAGACAAAACAAAAGTGTGCACGGGATCAAAGAGGAGCGAGGAAGACAGAGATGCTAAAGACCGACAAAATACAAACCAAACAAAAACAAACAATGAGCACATCTTGTCATTCACTGTGCAAGTGAGTGGAAAAGGAAAACACACAACCACACATCACTGTAACAGATGAGTGCAACAGAGAAACGGAAGGCCTTGATGCCCATTTCCTAAATGTGAGTTAAAAGCAAAGGAAAGACAAGTGTGCTGACCTCACGGAAAGTTTGCACTTGGTGTAGACCCCAAAGCAGCTCTCCAACAAGGACTTAAAGTGAAAATCGGTTCTTTGGAATAAGATAAAAGTGCTGAGGCACACTATTGTATAATTATATATTGTATTAGTCAGATAAGATAAGACAAAGTATCCAGTAAGCCGACATTATGAATGGGCAGCGCACGGGGAAGGGCCTCCAAGTAGTCACGTGTTTTACTATACTGTTGTAAAACTAAGAGCTGCGGTGATGAATACATGCCAAGAACCCGAAAATTGGACGGCTGACATCATCAGTACAGGTAAAGGAAATTTAGTGCAATTCAATTACATTTGTGTGTATGGACACATCAGAACATCTGTAGCAACCTTTACACACTCGGTTTTAAACCCAAGCAGCTTCAATTACTTAAACTAATATACACAGAATTACACCATGAATAAAATATTTTCTGTTGTTCATTGGTGTGTTCCTTTATTCCCTTGTCCAGCATGCCATTTTGCTTTCTCCATGAATTTAAAATATTTGAAAGATTAAAAATAACCTCTTAAAATATGCGTGTCATTTGATTTAGTTTTCATTTTATGATTAAACAAATTTTGCAAAATTTACAAGGGGAGACATTTTCGTTTGCGTAAAACAGAACTGACCCGAAATGCACCAGTATACCAATAAATCTTTATAAGAGACATTTTTTTCGTGATTAAATTTGATTATAAATATAAAAAAAATACAATCAATTACATCTACAAAAACAAAAACCCAAACACTGTTGATATTCTCTCAGTATGCTCTAATATGGCCGCAACCTATGGTTTATTACCGCCACAGAGAGACCAACAAAGTGAAGCTGGAACTGCTGCCAGGGTTTGGCTCAGGCTGTGAGTTATTTGGCCTGGATTGATATTTTGCGTGTGTGTGTGTGTGTGTCTCAGAGAGAGAGAGAGAGAGAGCCTAAGGATCACCTATGATAGCATTTGGCTAGAGTAATGTTAATGCCCAGTGTAAGAGTTGTGCCTCGTGCGTGCGTGCGTGTGTGTGTGTGTGTGTGTGTGTGTGTGTGTGTGTGTGTGTGTGTGTGTGTGTATTTGGACAGTGATTGGGATATGCTGTATATATATGTGCGGGTTGAGTCACTGTTTGAAATTTCCAGAAAATTCCAGCTGACATAATATTAGGTCATGAGTGTGTGTTTGTATATGTAGCCAGCAAATGGTTAAGCAGTGTGTATTTGGAAGATTTGGCTGTGAGATATATTATGTGTGTGTGTCTGCGTGTGTGTGGCTTCTCTGACAGTTTTTTTTTTTTTGCAATGTGGGGGGGAAAACTACAACACAGCCAGTGTTTTGGCTGTGTGTGTGAGGAATATGCGCACTGGAGGCTACAGTGATGTTTGGCCGGGTGTGAGTGTGTGTATCCATGATGGTGGCTGCGATACAACAATGTTTGGCTGTATTAAACTATATCTGTGATAGTCCTTGGCCGAACGTGTGTGCTGTGTGGGTGTGTGTACGCAATCGTGACTAAAACCGTGTTTGCCTTTACGTGTGAAAGTGCGCTGCAGAGATGACAGAGTTGTTTTTCTTTTCTTTTTTCCTTTTTTTTTAAAAAGAGTGTGTGTGTGTATCTTTATTTAGCTGTGTTTGTATGTGTGTGTATGGGTGTGAAGGTGGCTGCAATAGTACTGGCTGTCTTTGAGCATTGGCGTTTTGTGTGTGAGTGTGAGTTTGGCAGCCAGGTCCAACGTGGTGCTAACGTTCAGGCAGACGGTGAAGGCGGCAGCAGCCTGCGGCCTGAGAGCAGGAGGCTCACGGCTCTGTTCGCTTTCTCTCTCTCTCTCACACACACACACACACACACATAAATACACAAGCACACACACAACCTGGGCTGCGGCCAAATGATGATTTCTGGCTACAATGGTCTTACCATGGCAGATATACCTCGACAGACTGTGTACAATACTATAAACAGTGACTCTTCTTTGTGCAAAATTCATTGCGCAAAAAACACAGAAATTTCATCTCATAAAAAAACAGTCACTCAAACACACACAGACACACACAAGCATGCAAATTCTTTCCTAGGAAAAAAACAAAACACACACACACACAAAATACATGCTCATATGAAGCCGCAAATGCCTCGCTCAGAATAATGAACGCTTACTTGCCAGAGCACGCTGGACGTATGCCCCTGACACACACTAACAAATTCTTTTTTATTACTGTTGATACTACGTTGTCATGTAAACAAACCCCAAGAAACAGATGAAGAAAAGAAAAATATTAAAAGAACAAAAACGTACCCGCTGTTTTCTGTGGGAACAAAAGCAAGCAGGGACTTTCACTTTGTTAATCTGAGAGATAAATCTTTACTTTATTTTTTTTTCTTACCTTTTAACTGCTTAGTTATTACTTTAACGTTCCCTCCGTAGCAGTAAAAAGGTTTTTATTGGGTCTCTGAATATTTTTACTTTTACGTTATTCTTTTTATGTTTTTTGTCATTTTATATATTTTACTATATTGCAAATTAAGGTATGCACTTGTGTTTCTGTTGTGTTTCAAATTGTTAAAATGTTAGCGCGATCCTAAAAGCACACCGACATGATTACATGTGGCGAGTGTTTACGTGCTGGCATCCCTCTCAATTAGTGTCTGATGTCCAGTTTCTCACATACCTGGCGTGTGGACGAAGTAGGCCAGGTAGAGGTCCAGCTCCTTGACGGACACTCCGATGTGGTGTGGCTGGACGCACAGGCCAGGGTTGGTGCACTGCGGTGACTTGACCAGTCGTTCTCCGTCCGTGCTCTCCAAGGGGCTGCCCTTAAACAGGATGACCATCACCAGGTCCAGCCGCCACACCTTGTCAGCCTGGCGCAGGCAGTCGATGCGACGTATTTTGCCCTTCTGGTCGGGGTTGGACAGCACGCAGCAGGGGGGCTTTTTGCCCGTGATGGTGAGCACAAAGTCCTCACGGAACTCAGGCCGGATGTCCTTGCGGAGCTTGGCCAACAGGCGTGAAGCCCACTTCTGCTTGATCTCTGGCTTCTCTCCCAGCAGTTCATCCTTCACTGCACGCTCTTCCTCCTTGGACATGCGCTTCTCGTGCTTTTTGAAGTATTTACGCTTGCGGGCCTGCAGGTTGAACCAGGTGTAGGCGAAGGCGCGGACATGGGGCAGAAGGGCCTCGATGAAGGGGTGGAATTCATCCTGGATGAGGGAGGAAGATGGGGGGAGGGTGGATGAGGAGAGGGAGGAGGGGGGGAAGCAGGAGGAGGCATTGGAAAGAGAGGGGGAGAATGGGGGAGAGAAGGATGGGGAGAGAGGGAGAGGGGGTGAGGAGGGGAAGAGAGAGGAGAGGCAGTTAGCACCGGCGCGCAGCATGGAGGAGCGGCGCCTGCTCCGTGTGAGTGGAGGGAGAGAATGAGAGGCGCAGAGAGAGAGGGCGAGAGAGAGAGAGAATGAGAGAGAGAGAGAGAGAGAGAGAGAGGGAGACGGAAAGATACCTTGCGCTCTCTAATACAGACACATCGCACCGAAGGACACACTTCACAAACCACTGAACAACACATCACTGAATGACTGAGGTAAGAGATGAGACAGAAAAAATATGAGACTTGTCTCCATGAGATATTTGTGTAAATGTTGTTTGTCTGGTTAAATATAAACAAATGTGCTAGTTATAAATAAAAAATAGTGCCATCCTAATCCATTACTAAACATAAACAGTATTATTCTCAAAAGCATTATAGTAAGTATCAAAAAGTCAAGTAAAAACACAACATTTCTAAAACATAATTCAAACTGACCACGCGTATTATACAATGCTTAAAACACTAACATAATCAAGAAGAACGCACATGCCAAATTCTGATTAATAAAATTAAAGCCGTCTCGCTGAAAAGCCACAACATAAAATATTTGTCCATAAATAATACAACTGCGCCTCAAAAGTGCTTAACAGTAACGATCAAAAAATATTTGTGAATAAAACAAGAATTACATGGTAGTTACCATTTTGCTCTCTCATCATAAATTCACCCCGTCGATTGCAAAGAAACTTAAAATGCAGAGCCAGTACAATAACTGGATTGTAGAGTCAAAAAAGGCGCTGAAGTAATGCTGAAAACAAAAGAGTGAGGGGGAAAAAAAGAAGCTGATAAACTGTCCAATAAAAGCAGCAGGGGGCAAAAAAGCTGAGAAAGAGGAGACAGGCCAGGGGGTGCAGTGTAATACCAGCACAAGAACACAGGAGGTACTGTAGCAAGAGCTGCAGGAGAGGTGCTGTGCAAGAGCAGAGCAGAAGGAGTGTAGAAAGTTTAGCAATCTCTGTGTATAAAAGGATGAAAAAAAGGAGCTGGGTGTGCACAAATAAAATAAAACAGATAGTGCAGCAAAATAATAAAATTGTCAAAAATTAAAACAAGCTTCTTTCTTTGTTTGCAAAAACATGCAGAGAAAATATCTTGATGAAAAACAAAAATTAAAAAAAATGGCTGGCAAAGCAGCGCGTGCTATTGGTTCAATTCTGATCTGCATAAGACTCACGCAGAGGGAGAGAGAGAGCTGGACAAGGGGGGTGCGGACAGAGGAGAAGAAGGGAAAAAAAAACAAAAACAAGAGGACCGAATCAATGTTGGAAGACTGTGCACGACCGCTGGCAAACCCGAGTGCAGCTTCTTTTTTCCCCCTCTTTCTCTCCAACTCTGTCTCTCTCTTTCTCTCTTCCTCTCCACTTTCCGTCTCTAACCATTGACTGAGTCTGTGCCAACACGCAGAGGGCCCACCTATTTGGCATCGAGTCTCAAACAGCCCAGCCAATACGCACGCTCAAAGCACTGAAAAGGAGGGAAGAGAGAGATGGCAGAGGGAGAAGCAAAGAGGTGGGGGTGTGGATGGTTGGTGGCTGGTAGTGGAGAGAGGGCGGGAGGGGGTGGATTGTGTGTGGTGCAGGCAGAAGGCACGTCATTAGCCAAACAGACAAGTTCCAATCTAGTGCAAAGGCAAAGTCCAGAGGATATTAATTTTACATGCATCCAGACAGCACCCGCCTCCTAAAGCTCCCCCCCACACACTTCTCCCTCCCTCACCACCTTCGTCACCAACATGGTCACAGCCATCCCAACAAACCAGCTCACTCTCTAACTGCACCCCCCACTCCTGAAACACCCCTCTCCTGCTCTCTCTCTCTTTCTCTCTCTCTCTCTGCTCGCGTTACACCACCTTGGCATGGGATGGCATGAGAAAACACAGACCCAAAATCCCACTAGACCCTGAGACCAGCAGCTGCTCCTGGATTTACCACACAAACAAAGAGAGGAGGGGGAAGAAAAAGACCCCCCTCCACCCCCCAAAACAAAAAATACCATCCAAAAACATGCTCTCCTGTTTCAAAATGCAGTCTTACATCCAAACTGGCCCCTTCGCCTCCTTTTTTTTCCTTTTCCTGTTACTCCACTTTAATAGCTCCAGCACCATAGAAACAGAAACACATTAAAAGTTTCTGTTATCAAATTAGAGAGTTATCTCGTTTGTGGGTGAGAAGCTGGATCTGATTGACAATGATGCCTCAAAATGCTGTGGTGGATGGGTTTATGCAAGTAGCCTATATAGCTTAAGCCTTATAAAACTATCAAAAACAGACTACACAGCTTCCTGTAATTGCAAAGTTGAGTCGAATGCATTCAGCTTTAGATATGCTGGTCTTTATAATAGTAAGGACAATAATATTTTCATTCTGCAGCCAGTTAATTGCCCATATTTTCATCGTGCTGCATTATGAATCCCACAATGACACATAATTGGGACTTAACAGCAGCAGAAAGTGAGGGAGCATGGGCCTGCGTAGCTGCTCTGGACAGCAAGTTGTCTCATCCTCATTGGCTGACTCACACGACCTCAGAGGTACAAGCTGTGCCCAGAGCACCAGGCGAGAAATATCTGACACAAAGGCTCCCACCGAGGGCCGATTCAACATAATCGGATGCATTTGTCAGAAAAATAATATCTCTGTGATGATTTGATGTGAAATACGTAAGGGCTGCTCCACTCCCTAGAAGTGCATTTAAATGTCATTCTCCCAATTTACAAAAAAGGAACACATTTACCCATTTACGCAGTCCAAATTACATGAATTAGTCCACAACGCTCACAGGAATTACAGAGACATTGTCAAAACTGGAATCTTGACAGTGGGCAGCCATAAAAAGCTAACTTGTCATGTGGCAAAGTTGAGGGTCCGTTCATTTGATTGTGAGTTGAAGCCCCCTGCTGTGCAACGGGACAGGCTGTCTGTGTGAACGCCCTACAAAGGCCAGAGTCCTCTGGTTGGCTCCCAGGACCATCAGATTTAGCCTGGCCTGCTCCCTCTGTCAGCGTCTGACAGAGGAGCTGCAGCCTGGATGACTGGCTGGTCCACTGAATGGCTGACAAGCTGGCTGCCAGGTTGGCTGAAAGGCCGCATGACGGGCTGGGTGAATGACTGGTTGGCTACCCAGGTGGGTAGCTAGCTGGCTAGTTGGTTGCCTGGCTGCCTGGCTGCTAAGGTTGGGGGAGGAAGGGGGGTACAGACCCCATCTGGACCAGGCTGAGCCGGGCCGGGTGCCGATTGTTCGTGCTAGCATACGCCTGCCTCACACAGCCACGCTGAACACGTGAATAATGTGGGAATGAGAGAAGATGGTGGAGGCAAGAGAAAGAAAAAAAAAAACAGGCAAATGGAACATGAGGAGATGGAATTAAATAGGATGTGTGTGTTTGTTTTTGTTTTTGAAGAATAATAACGGAGGTGTGTTTGCCACTTATTTGAAAAGACTGAAGGGATCTAGACTTTTTTAATGAATGGGCCACAGACAAAGAACAGGAGAGCTATGTGCCAAGCACTGCAGTTACTTCCTCAATATCATCACATTACTGACAAGCGAAATGATAACCAAGATTCATATCAGGGAAATGAAAACCAATCCATTGTCCGAAGCGACGTGTTTTCTTTAGCGGATGAGCCCTGAGACATTTTTTGAACAACATAACTCCTGTTAAATCTTCATACCGCAAAAACAGGATGAAAAACTGAAGGTATCCTATTACGAGATAAAATTTTATCTGTAACATTAAGCAAATAAACTGCAGATACTATGCAAAAAAACAATACCCCTACCAGTCCCCCCCCTATAATCACTCTAAAAGAAACAAAAAAAACCCTTTTAAAATCACTTAGTTAAATCTGCTACAGGGCCTCCTTCTTATGATCATAAACTGGACCAAATGCAAAATTATGCACAGCCATTGAGGTTTGTGCACAAATTGCAGTTAAAGAAAAAAAATCTTTTATTATTTTGGCTAAGAAATCAGTCTGTGTGGCACCCCGCTGTTTAATGTGTCCTTTTTTGACATTTTCAAACCCGCAGCTCCTTCAGCTCATTAAGGAAGATTTCTCCTGTTTGCCCACAATTCTTCACGGCAGAAGAAACAGTGGCAGTTTTTCCAGGCCTGAGCCACGGCGCTCTGTAGGTATCTGCGCTGCAATAATGTAAGAGAGCGCTCCTCTTATCTCTGCATGCCATGCTCTGTCTTTCAGAAAATGACGACCTTTGTTCGGTCAGTCCGGGCGAGCCAATCTCCACTCACTCCACTCCGCTCCAGCCCTGACACGGTACAAACGCAGAGAGCAGCAGAGAAATGAAATCCAAACTCAGGTTTTATTGAGGCTTCAAGCACCAACAAAACACCAGAGTTAAGAAACCTATAAAAAAATAAATAAATCACCGTGTTCAACAATTCGGAGAAAATTAACAAGAGCGCTCCGTTTGAGTTTACTCATTAAACCAGTTTGTCACGTAAGGCTGGCTCGGGGATTACCTTAACTGTTTAAATAGCAGGGGCTACGAAATGAGGCCAAAAATTGAATTAAAATAGCATTAAATTCGAGTCAACATTAAATCCTTTAAATGAGAAAAACCCCTCTGTGTGGCCTATCCTCCATCAGAAAAGGGCCTGCACCTCGTCTTCCTACATTTCCCAAAACACTATGAAAATTAATACTCCCACCTCTGAAACAACGAAGCCCACCATTTTCACCATCTTCAGAAAAAGAAAGGCAAAAAATGTTTAGCGTTTGGTTCTTGGCTGATAGCGCCCGTTAACCTCCACGACCGTCGTTCCCAGCATCCGTCGGTCTGTTTCTGAATTAGACTTTTTATGTTGCTCTGTAA